TACACACACACACACACACACACACACACACACACACACACACACACACACACACACACACACACACACACACACACAGAGTGTACACCTGGCCACCTCTCCGTGAGGGGCAGCCCCCTCTCTGCACCAGCACAGACCCCTCTCACCCCACCCCCGAAGGCAGCCCCCTCTCTGCATCAGCACAGATCCCCTGCCCTCCAGGCAGCACAGTGGCTTGGTGCTGAAGCCCAGTGTCTTCCCCAGCCCACGGGCTGTCCTGGCAGAAGCTCCTAACCGCGAGGCCCGGCACCACGGCTCGTGTATTATAGAGAAGGGGGATTCACTCTCGTTCTCTGGGCAGAGTGCTCCTTGGCTCCCTGGTGCCTGCAGTGAGGAGATGCCGGTGCAGCTGCCCTCGGCTATATCGGCAAAACGAAACAGACACAGAAACAAAGTGGACAAAACTTGCAGACCGGCCTCAAGGCATCTCCGGCCCTCACACGGGGCCGGACCCTGCTAATGGAAACACAGCGCGGCCGGCTGACCACGTCTGCAGCAGAGAGGTGCCCCGTACCGCTCTCGGGGGAGCCTATGTCCATGAGGCAGGTGAGGAGGGCTGCAAAGCCACAGAGGTTACCAGGACCTAGGGGCACCTAAGAGGAGACCGGGGGGGAAGGGGGATGTTGTGTACAAGCAGGAGGTGGCGAGAGTCCTTTTTGGTCCACGTGGCCTGTAGCGTCTGGTCTTTGGAGCGGAGGAGCAGACGTGGTCTGGATTCCGGCCTAGTCCTGGAAGGCAGCCAGCATGTAGCCGTACAGGTAGTGGGAATGTGCTGCAAGACAAAGCACATGTGAGGCCCTGTGAGCATGAGGGGACGTGACATGGAGCTGCAGCAACTTCCGCTTGCCTTCCTCTGGGGGCTGGAGCAGCTGGGGATTGCTTTGGAGCAGGGTAGGGGGTTAGCAACCCCTCTGGCTTATCTATCTCAGGGACTTCGATAGCCCCTGTTGCCATAGGATCTGTGTGTTCCTCGTAATCTTTACCCTCAAATTCTGCTGGGAGCCAGGGCAGGGCTATTGCCCCATTGCATAGATGGGGACTGAGGCCCACAGAGGCTAAGTAACTTGCCCAAGGTCACACAGGAAATTTGTGGCAGAGCCAGGAATTGAACCTGGGTCTCTGACTAACACCCTAATCACTAGGCTGCTCTTCTTCCATTCCAGTGGGGCCTTCCCAAATCAGGAGGTGGAGGCAGCTCCAGGGCAGAGACCAGGCCAGCTGTTTGTGCAATGCCAGAAGGTTGGGCTTATCAGGGACAGTCCCCTGGGGGCAGGGACCAGATCTGCCTACGTCTCTGGACAGCCCCTAGCACAGAAGGACCCTGGTCTGTAGGCACCACTGCAATACAGATAGTAACAACTAATAACAACCAGGTGGGAGGGCAACGGGAGTGTCCTCTAGGGGGCGCAGTGTTTCCATCAGCCAGAGATGCCCCTGCTGTACAATGCATTGATCGGCACCTGGAGCAGGATCAGGGAGAGTCCGATGTCCAGATAGGCTGTGATGCAGGAGAATGCAAGAGCGCTGTGATCCACTCCCCTTTGTGACTGGCAGCACATCTCCATGAGCTCCAAGCGGAGAGCTCTGGGCCTGCCCTTGCCCCCCTGCTCAGCCCCTCCCCACTCACCAGCTCTCAGTGAAGATCACCTGGAGCAAGCCAGCAAGCGAGTGAGCAGAGGGGAGCAGAGACCTGGGAGTTAATGGGAAGGGGTGCACTCTAGACATGCAGGTTACAGTAATTGCCTCAGGGGCAGACAGGTCCCCGAGGCCAATGCAGGCCCAATGCTGGCTCAGTCG